CATACATACATACATACATACATACATACATACATACATACATACATACATACATACATACATACATACATACATACATACATACATACATACACATACACACATATATGGTTGTTAAATCAAATTTTGAATCATGTCATTAATAGCTCAATTTCCTTGTAATCGTGTTAATCATAGTGTGATCACAACAGTAATGTAGCATGAATGGTGAATCATATCATGTGTATTAACTGTATAGATTTAAGCTGATACGGTGGATCATATATTGAGTATTAATTGTATAGATACTAACCAACTGCTATATATTGTCATGTATTCTTGTAGGAATGATCAAACACTCGAGGGAAATTATATTTTACAATAATGTTAACATACTTAAAAATATGATCATGAACTTTAACATGAACATCCGTTCACAAAATGGATCTCGATCGTGTGTCCATATACGGAAAACCAGAAAGAAGGTTCTGCCTCTTGTTCGAAAATAATGTGCATGATCAACGCCCTTGAATCAAACACACTAGAAAAGGACGGAGTGTCGATTGAGTTTTTATGGAACCAAACCATATATATATATATATATATATATATATATGTGTGTGTGTGTGTGTATGTATATATATATAGTGAGAGATTCAAGTAACAACATTAAATATCGTGAGAATGTAAGTATCTTTTATGGAAACCACATTATATATATATATATATATATATATATATATAGGGTATATTTCTTTTACAACCTTGTGTATTTGTACAACCCTTGCAACCCAATTAATTGAGATATTTATAGAAATGATGGGAGTTCATTTATTTTGATTTGAATATTTATGGAATATGAATAGAGTTCATTAATTATGATTAATACTTTATATTAGGAAACAATCAAAACTTCTATGAAATCACATATTTATCAAATGAAATGGACGGTTGAGATTGAGTTGTATTGGTTGCACAAATGTCAAAGGTTGTATAATAACCAACCTATATATATATATATATATATATATATATATATATATAGTTTGGTTCAAATACTAACCAAGATTTTTGTGTTAACTTTGTTAACCAATCTTGGCCATTGATTCTTACAATAAAGAGTTGTGATTAATCATGATAAAAAAAATAAATTTTTAAATTTACAATTTCAAAGAACATATGTGAACAAAGGGGAAAAATGTATTTAAGTAATTTTCTTTTTTTATGTAACTCCCATATCATTAATTGGGAGTTACAAAATCAAAAAATCTAATTATTTTTTTTTGTTAACGTAAGAACCATATGAACACACACACACACACACACACACACACACACACACACACATATATATATATATATATATATATGAACTATTATGTCAAATACGAACAAAAATTGACATATATATATGAACTTGAACTGTATATCATTAATGAACACAATATGAATATAATAAGAATAGTTGTTACATGAAAGTAAATAAATAAAAAAACAGGTATGAATACAATATGAACAATTTGTGAACAATAGTTCCTTCATTATGAACATATTCAGGAGCAAGCCAATGTTGAGATATGTAGCTAGTGTACATATGAAACACAATATGAACAGTTTGTGAACAATAGTTCCTTCATTATGAACACATTCAAGAGCAAGCCAATGTTGAGATATGCAGCTAGTGTACATATGAACACAATATGAACACTTGTGAACAATTCTTTAACAATTACATATGAATTCGAATTCTAATTGTAGTCGTAGACGATTTTAACCTTTTCATTCTCATTGTTGTCGATCTGTTTTCCAATAGGTTTATCCATATTACTCGGACGATATCGAAATCTTTACAATCGGAAATTCTTTAACAATTACAAAATCAATATCATTATGGATAGAATAAATCGAAATTACAAAACATGAACACATATAAAAAAATATCAATATTACATAATCATCAATTATTGAAATTTTTAGATTTGTAACTCCCAATTAATGATTTGGGAGTTACATAAATGACAAATTACTTAATTACCCTTGTCATTAATATATGAGTTATATGTGAACCTAAGGAAAAGATAGAATATGATTGGTTGAGCTTGGTTAACAAAGTTAACACAAAAATTTTGGTTAGTATTTGAACCCAACCCCAATATATATATATATATATATATATATATATATATATATATAGGGGCCTAATCAAATGAGAACTAATTAGTTTGTGGTAACTGTGAGAACCAATATTAACTACAAATCAATAGATAAATTAGGAAATTTATAATTTTGGCAATTTTGAATTAAAATATTAATGCAAGGATATTTTTGGTATTTTAAAACTTTCCTCCCTCCTCTCTTCTCTCTCCGGCCACCGTTCGCCGGCCACCGTCCTCCGGTGATACTACAATGGTATCACAATGCATCATATATGTGCTTGGGTATCACATTGATGTCGTTTGTGTGGTCGATCGAAGATGTAACACAGTGGTATCACTATGCATCTTATATATGATTAGGTATCACAATGTATCTTTTGTTTAACATAGTCAATATTTTTAGGTATCACAGTGGTATCATAGTGATATCACCGGAGGACGGTGGCCGGAGGCCCGAGAACGGTGGCCGGAGAGAGAAGAGAGGAGAGAGGAGAGTTTTAAAATACTAAAAATATCCTTGCATTAAGATTTTAATTTAAAATTACCAAATTTATCTATTGATTTGTGGTTAATATTGGTTCTCACAGTTACCACAAATAACTCAGTTCTCCCTTGAATAGGCCCCTATATATATATATATATATATATATATATATATTGCAATTTTTATATAAAATTTGCATTAATTAAGGTGGACAAAAGTGGGAATGATATAAAGAACTTTTTGACTTCTTGACCATCTCTTTGACTTTTAAGACAAATTGTGATCTGATTGATTGCTCCTTCATTTCAATATTAATAAAAAAGGAGTTGGGTTAAAATAGCCAATTTTTTTTTGTCGTTTACCAAACGTTTATTCGAGTAAGTGCTTATCAAGTTACGTAATTTCATCAGATGATATGGTAAGGATCAAGAATCTTATCCGGTAAGAGCGAGAGAATGACCAAGAGTCTTACCCGGTAAGTGAGGGCGACGGTTCTTACCACGGTAAGCCCTTACCGAGTAAATTGTTGCATACAATGTCGTTTTGGTGGACTAAGATCTTACCCAGTAAATAAATAATAGTGTTAGATTTTACAGATAAGCACTTACTGGGTAAGTGTTTGGTAAACAACCCCTTTAGTCTTTTAGGCATTTCTTTTTATTATTTACCTAAATATAACTATATCCGCAAGTCTCATTTCTGTAACTTGCGAATTCAACTAAAAGACAAATTTTTTTATCAGATTTGACTCAGGTCTGCAATTGCGATGACCAAGTCTAGAATTTGATTTTTTATTTTATTTTTTAGTTAGGTCCGTAAATGGCGGACGTGAGACTTGCGGAGGTGGTGACATTTGAGTAAATAAGAGAAATGAATAACTAGAATACCAATTTATGTATGATAAATAGCTATTTTGACCAATTTTAGTAATAAAAAATATACTGAAATGGTTATTAGTATTATTTTATGGTTTTATCGGGTAAGAATCTCGGTTGTTTTCATGTCTCATACGGGGTAAGATTCTTGGTTCTTTTCTTACTCATCTGATATAATACGTGATCTGATAAATAATTACCCGTTAAATATTTAGTAAATGGTTCTTAAGAAATAGATTATTATTAAAATAAATGGTAACGTTAAATGGAATACGATTCTTCTCTTTTGCATTTACCACTTTACTTTTTACAGAGCAATTATGGGTACATGTTTTCAAGATCTTAAATTGGAATATAAACATGAGTTGTCATATGTTAAAGTGCAAGTATTTGCAATTATCCATAAGTTATGGACTAGTTTTGTAATTTTATTTACTTTGAGGATGATTTATGTAGTAATCAAAATTTTAATCGAAACTAACTTATATTACGAAATATATTTCAATATGATTGGTTTTATGATGATGGAGGTTCGGGTTCACATGAGACCAACGTGTTTTCATGAGGCCATAAATAACACTGAAACTTCATAACAAAACATTGTCAAGTTAAAAAAATACCGAACCTGCGTAGCAAAAATATTTTGTAAAGGTTTACCTTCGCAGTATTTTGTTATGAAGATTCAGTGTACATAACATGATTGGCACGACCAACGTAAGGATTTAGTAGGCCGCTAGCATTTTGTCCTGGTCCATGTTCATAGTTCTTGCTTCGGAAATGCATGATATAAGGGATTAAGGGTCAACTAAGTAACTCAATGATCCACAGTTATAACAATAATCTCAGCACGTCAAATGGCATATATTAGCTATTTCCACGCCAAAGTAACCCATTGTACTCGAAGACGAAGGATCGTGTGAGAAAAAGAGTTAAAGTGAGAAGCGTAAGAAGAGATTCAGACCCTTAATCATCTTTGATCTCAAACCCATCCATGAATCCGGTTGATACGAGGATTGATCTGATGCATCTCATCTTAATATACATCCAAGGGTGAAGATCACTTCTTACAATTCTCACCTTAACTCTCATTCACATCGGAATCCAATCCTGTACTCGAAATGGGTATTTAGTTTTTTCCTTAATCTCTCACATTTAAATAAATGATACACATATTATATATATCAATAATGAAACAATATAGTCCAT